ACTTAATTTCCACGGTCACGCTATAAATTAAACAAACGCTATAATTCACAACGAACGACACACGCGCTCGACCCAACTGTCCGTCTCTATCTCTGTCTGCAATTCAACTGCATTCCATTTGTTGCCGTCACTTCTTGGCGGTTTTATATACATGAATACCGCATATCTAGTAAACACTCGAGCATTCACGAACCTTCAAGAATATGACGTGTTACTAGCGTCACGTGACCCCCGCTGTCGTAACAGCATTAATATACAACTGGGGATAAAACATGGAAAATAAACAACTTACAAATACCAAAAAACAAACAATTAACGCAGAATAATTTTGTTTTTAATCTCGGTGCCCTAAAAAGTAATATTTTTGTTTATTTTGGAACAAAGCTACATTGGGCTATCTGCTGTACCCATCGCGAGGAATCTAGCCTCGGATTTAGCGTAGACTTACCGCTGTTCTATTGGGCAACCTATAGGATAATATGCTGCAAATGAACAATGCTGAGCAATTAAAGTTATAAACTTCTTTGTCACTTTGCATGGGTTTCAGTCGGTAATAAATTTGATAATGTACTTATAAATCACTGAGATAATTCACAGTATATTATCAAAGTAGCATTGCAATAGAATAGTGAAAGAAAACAGCGAATAGTATTTAAGATGATGCAGAACGTTTAGTGGAACAAAATACGATAATTATGGTACGGGGTTAAATCATTGTATCACTTTTCATTATAAATACTGGAAATGTATATACTCGTATTTGAATTTAAGATAATAACCTCACATACACCTAAGTTGTCCAGGAAAGTTATTAAAATAAATCGCATTACATAAAATTGTCAACTAATAATTGTATTACAAATAGAAATATTACATATAGATTACAAGTACTAAACACAATCTTATTATTTTAAATAAATTTTAGTCCATGTTAGTAACTAAATGCGTAGTAAGTGATTGAAATACGAGTACAAGAAACATGAAAGTATCACAGTTACTTATGAGGTAAGAAATATCCAAAATTGTATGCTATAACCTTCAACGCAAATATATTTTGTGATTGGTGACTCAAATACAAACTGAATTAATGATAATTACTTTAAGATTGCGAAACATTCGATAAATGATATCATAGGTTTGCTTAATAAATGTATTAAAATATTATTTAATAAGAAAAGATGAAACTGTATGTAAGTTTTTACACTTGTAAAATGAAACCTAATCGTTTCTATATACACATTTTGGAGGTCATAAAATTTCAAGACCTTGTTTCCATATAAGATTTTGTTTTTTCAAAGAAATGGCCAAAGTAAAATAAGACTAACCGCACAATGTGCCCAAAATACTCACACCTTTTCAAATAATAATTTCCTTTGTTAGGCCCGGTATGGCCAGGTGGTTAGGGAGCTCGACTCGCAACCTGCGGGTCGCGGGTTCGAATCCCCGTCACACCAAACATGCTCGCCCTTTCAGCCGTGGGGGCGTTATAATGTGACGGTCAATCCCACTATTCGTTGGTAAAAGAGTAGCCCAAGAGTTGGCGGTGGGTGGTGATGA